CCATTTATGCTGATTGCTGTCTGTTGTTGTTGCTGTGGCTTTTGGTGTTGGCCAGGAATCTTCATCACCACATCTGTTTTCTCTATGTTCACCTGGAGTCCTATCTGTGATGCTTCTTCTGAAAATATGTTGCTTTTCGCTTGCATATCTTCCAGTTTGTGGGAAATCAGACATATATCATCACGGGCGAAGTCCAGATCCTCCAAGTTTTTTATGTGAGTCCATTTTATGCCTGTTTCCTCATTGCCCACTGTTCGCCACATTATTCAATCTACTGCAATCAGGAAAATCATTGGTGATAGTAGGCAGGCAACCTGTCTCAATCCTGTCCTCACTTTGAAGGATTCCGTAAGTTTCCCGTTGTGGATTACTTGGCATGCAGCATTGTCGTACAGCTGTTGGATGAGATGTATAATCAATTGGTAGTAGCGAAGTAGTTTCCAAATCACCTCTAGATCTACACTGTCGGAGGCCTTTTCAAAGTCGATGAAATTGAGATAGAGAGGTGACTGCCATTCCACGCTTTGTTCTGAAATAAGATTTCTGAAATAAGTATAGACATAAGCGCAGAAAGATCGATTTCCACATTTAAACATAATATCTCCTGTCTTTTTAAGTTATTTTTTTGTTAAGTTAATGAACAAGGTGAATGAAATCGAGATAGGGAGATAGACAGAGAAAGGAAGAGAGACAAATACGAAGAGGAAAAAGGAATAATCAGGGCATAAATGTTTCTAATTTTATCCTAAAAATCATCACTTTTCCAGTCTGTCGTATTATTACAAGATAACTAAAAAATCAATAATAAAATGTCTACTGGTGGGGGTTTCAGCTGGAAGATAATCAGTCATTTTTAGATAAGATCAATTGATAGATTTTTCTTATATACAAGGAGATTAAGAAGAGTTGAATATTGACTGTTCAATAAATATTGTCAGTCAAAGTGCTTTCAACACTAACTCCCTTCTCTACTAAATTATATCTCAGTATAATCAACTTTACGTCTTTAACGGAGCTTAACGACTTAGGAATCGACTTGTTACCAGAGAATAGTCTTATAGACTTAGAATACGCAGACGACATAGTCCTGTTAGGGGAGGACGCTGACAAAATGCAGAGTCTTCTGAACACCTTGAGCAGCAATCTTCGTATGTTTGGCATGCGATTCGCCCCTGTAAAATGTAAGATGCTGCTACAGGACTGGACTACGTCTACCCCTAGCTTAGTGATAGGAGTGAAGTGATAGAACACGTTGACCACTTCACCTATTTGGGAGGTTGTATCAGCACCAACGGATTGATTGGTGACGAAATCTCAGCACGGATACAAAAGGCTCGGGCTGCTTTCGCTAACTTAAACCGTCTCTGGCGTACGCGTGACATCCGGCTATCAACCAAGGGACGTGTGTACTGCTCAGCAGTTCGCTCCGTCCTTCTCTATGGCTCTGAAACATGGCCAATACGAGTTGAAGACATGAAAAGGTTGACTGTTTTTGATCATAGATGTCTACGATCTCTTTCTCACGTTAGGTGGTATAATAAGGTAAGTAATGTTGACGTTAGGCGTAGAGTGTTGGGCAAAGAGGGAAAATCAATCGACGAGGCTATAAAGTTACATAGATTGAGATGGATAGGTCACGTGCTGCGCATGCCTAACCATTGACTCTCCCGACGGACGGGCATTACTAGCTGATATAGGTGCAGGTTGGAAAAGAGTAAGTGGTGGCCAAACAAAAACATGGCATCAATCCATGAAATCCTTGACAGTTAAACTGAGTCAGTTAGGTAGGGAGATGCAGACTTCCGGGTTGGGGCCCGCCCTCGGGACTCTAAGAATCAATGGTGGCTGGAGACAATAGGTGACATGGCTCAAAATCGTTGTCAATGGCTTACGCAGATGTATTCAGTCTCTGTAATCTTTCATATTCCTTTCTACCATTACTCATTCTGTTTCACTCTTATACTTGTCAAAACTCTATTGATTCTCTTCACTCATCTTCTTGTCTACCTTTGTGTGCTATTTGGAACGTGGGAACTCGAACTGCTGCACTTCGGTGCCAAGTTCTATGTTGAATCCAGACAGACAGTCAACTTTACGTGTGTGTGTCTGTTTGTGTGTGTATGTATCATGCCCACGTGTTCATGCAAAAATAACTATTCCGTATGTCGTAGGCAGATTCTTCAGACACAGTTTGTCGACTGTTATCCAGTGTGTTGATCGCTGATAGCCAGCAGTGGAACATGCCAGTGAACATGCCTTTCTTCTTAATTAGGACTTGCCGGATTCTGGATTCCAATAAATGGCCATCCATGTTCCTCAATAAGGATCTAACCCAGCAGCTATCGTGCCAAACGAGTCGATTTATGATTAGCGACCGAGAATTCCCCTTGAGTGAAACTGAATAACCTTACATTTAAACGTGTCAAAAAAATATCCAGTTTGGTTGATTGAACATAATGGTACGACGAAGACTGCATTTTTTTGAAAACCTTGTAAAGTCAGACGATTTGAATTCGAAGCCATACTTAACGAATGGCTAAATCCTTCAGTACACATGCTGTTTTAAGTTATATGACAAATTGAATCAGAATTGAAGAAAAATTGGCCTAACCATCAAGAGTTTGGTGCGTCGGTGGCACATCGGTAGAATGCTCGCCGGCCATACATGTGGTCCGGGTTTCGATCCCCAGCCACAGACGCACTCCTTTACCTTGCTAAGCCAGTTTTAAGAAACTGGTAAAGAGGGAAGTTTGGGCATAAGGCTAGCAACGCCATCTCGTAAACATAAGCACCCCTCGTACCGAAACTTCACGTCTCTAGCTTGAAGTCCAATGTTCCATTGGGAACTTAAAGGAATAAAAAAAATCAACAAAAATCAATTCTTATCACGAATTGAAATCAGTTAGAGAACCTCTGGAAAATCACGGAGTAATGGATAACTGTTTACTCTTAATTTGGGACTGTTCATCAGCACACACCCACCGAGGTTCGAATGCACGACCTTACGGCGCTGCAAGGTGAGCTCACAGACCATTCAACCTCCAATGGCCCATGAATTCCAACTTCTGCCAATTCGCTATATATATATGTTGCCAATAAAAAGTAAGTAGCCTTCTGAGTTAGTGTTCATGCTACCGACCGGCGTCTATCGATTCATCATTCAACATCACTGATGGGCAAATATTCTCAAGCTTACGCCGATAAAGTTACAGGTTTTGTGTGGGATCTATCAGTCAAAACAAGTCATTGACAAATTCACGCTTAAAACAGTATGATTCATCGCCGTATGATTCATCATGCGGTTCATCGTGTAATCGGATGACTGTAAAATTTCATCATCATCATCTTTTTTTACTAGCTTGGTCTTTCTAAAATCATAGGAAACCGACTTGGAACGGACAATTAACAAGTTTCTACAGCTGGGTACCAATCAGTCGGAAAAGAAACCTAATTAAATCCC